TTAACCATGAATGGGCTTTCCTGATGGCCCTCCTTGGAACCTCTTATTTACTGGACAAGTGAGATTGTTTTGTCAAACAGATGCTATGTTACTGAACTCTTAGAAAGTGTTATCCCTTGTTGGTGAAATCTCATCAACCTTACTAGTTTTCTTTTTTTAAAGATTTGTTTATTTATGCTTGTTTATGTTTATTTAAGAACTGGGGTGTAGGCCAGAGGCCAGAGACAGAGAGTGGTGGTAAGCAGAACAAGCAGATGTATTGAAATACTCTGCTGAGGGAAGCCGTGGGGAGACAGAAGAGGCCTGCTGCACCATATGGGTCAGCTTACTGCCTGGCCTGGGATTGAACTTGTGTTGCAGTGGCTGGCAATAGCTTGATAGCATTGTCTTTAACCCCTGTGCCACAAGGGAAGTTCTCATTTTCTTTTTATAATCTACTTTTGGAGTATTCTTGAGGTCTAGCTCAGATAAAATATGAATTAATGAGAATTCACTATGTGAAACAAAAGCAAAACACATATTTTGAAAACTTAACTGATAACCAAGGGAGGACAGAAACAAATTGTCCCTGTTTGCAGATGAAGACCCTGGTATAATAAGTGGAAGAGCTGAGCATCAGACTAGGTGTAGCTACAGATTGTTCCCCTCACTGGATTATGCTAGAAATCCACAGCTATTAACTGTGGAATGTAGCCAGTGTGAAGATCTTTCTTTTAATACAATGTTTTACCAATTAACCACCACTCATTAATATGCATTTACTGAAAATCTACTGTCAGACTCTGCTTTTGCTAACTTGAGTGTCTAGCTTGAGTAATTATTCAGTAATTATTCATCCTCCTTGTGAGTAGTGTTAGCTTCAGCAAAGGTGAGTACCGTTTGGTAAATTGAACCTTTTTCTAGTTGCAGATCCCTGATTTTTTTTTCATTTAAGAGTTTTGGACAATATTTACTTTTTTTAAACCACTCAAAAGGACAATGGAGATGGGAAAAGGCACAAAATGATGTAAAAATGAACTATTATAAAAAAATACACATTAAAATTTTTTTAATAAAATAAAATAAAAAATAAATAAATAAAAAATTACTCAACAGGGGCCTCCCTGGTGGCACAGGGGTTAAAGCACAGCAGTACAGTGATAGGCAGCTGCTGCAGCATAAGTTTGTTCCCTCTCCAGGGAGGGGAGGAGGCCCACATAGCCAAGTGGACCTTTCCTGTCTCACCCGCTGCTCCCTCAGCATTTTGGTCGATCTGCCTGCTCTGTTCCCCACTCTGTGTCTGATGAATCCTCTTACCCCTCGCACTTCTGGCCTGTACCCCAGTTCTTCCATGCATAAATAAATCTTTTTTAAAAAATAAAAATTACTCAACAGTAGTTACATAACATTTCTAATTCTGAAAAACATAATCACTGAAGGATGTCTTCAGTGACATAGGATATTGATTTTCCATAACATTATTTGATTAGATTGATTCATATTGAATTGCATAGTTCTGAGTCTCCTGGGCATCAGATCCATCAACCTACGCACATTTGTGAGGTGCTCCAGAGGTGCCTATCCCTGTGTTGAGTAAGTCACCTGGAAGCTGAGTTTTGGGCTTGAGACAAAACAGACAAATGCATCACTAAGCGCTTTGGCTTGGGAGGTGGAAGTTTTGCCTCTGACTGACTCTGTGACCTTGAGCAAGTGACCTAACTACTCTGAGCCTTAACATAATATCCCAGAAGTGATATTAACAGTAGAATAGTAGTGTTTACCTCAAAGGCAGGCAGTAAAGATTAAATGAAATAATTCATGTATGGGGGTGAGCAGATGTTACTCATAATGATATTCATAGTGATAATAAATATAACAAATGCCTCCTAATTTTAACACTTTTGGGGAAATTTTTTATTTTGCCTGCATCAAGCTTACGTGTGTTTCATTCTGGATTTCCTCATACATAATTCTGATGTCTCACCTCCTCTAGCTTCAAGGAACGATGTTCATTGAGAAAGAAAAGTACTGACTCATTACTCAACAGAGTAATCAGATGTTGACTGCTTAGCTCTGTGAGGAATATAAAAAGCAATGTACCTTCAGTTGTGCTCTGTGAGAGACGTCATAGTGGAGGGAAAAGTAACATTTCTTCAGCTAAGCACTTGCTGTTTAATCTCACAACTATCCTGTGAGGATGTAGTAAACCTCTTTCTCACAGATGAGTAAAACAAAGTCTCAAGAGAAAATAATGAGTGAAGTCTCAGAGTAAATGGCAGAGCTGAGATTTGAGCCCTAAGCCATAAGATCCCACCATCTCTTGCTAGTTTTTTTAGGGGTGGAAATCCCTAGGAAGTTGAGGAACACTTTAAAGCCACGATATTGAGGATGACAAAGATAGTCTTTTGAATGACTTAAAAATCTTGTGCTAGAGCTAGTTGAAATGCTGTTTTTTGAAAACCTGGTAAGTTAAGGAAAATGATTGAAATGTAAACACACAAAACCCTTTTTAACTTAGAAATAGTGGAAGTTGAAAATCTAGAAATAGCTGACTCTAGAATTCTTGTTCAAGTATGTACTTACATTTGGAAATTGTTCTCTAAGACCTAGAACAGTACATGGAACATCATAAATTTCAATAACTAATTAGTGGATGAATTAGTACATTTAAACTATCTTTACAAGTTTGCAAAATTATACTATCTTCCTCTTGTGACTTACATTTTCTTTTGAAAACATGTATGTGATTGGTAAGGATGTGGAAAATAAGCACTGTTATATATTTCTAATGGCATTAAAAACCTGGCACATCATTTCTGGAAGTTGTTTGATGCTATCTGTCAAAATGACAAATAATCATACCCTTTGACCCAGCAGTTCTATGTCTGAAGTTTGTCCTAAATTTGTATCAGTAACAGTGGTCTCCAGGGTAGGAAACAGGGTGAGTATGTTCCAGGGTTGAGACTTTTCCATCTCTAACCAAAAAGATGAGCAAAGATGTGAATTTTGTACAACACATATGAATGTTTGTTATTTATAAATCTGTAAAAAATCTCTGAGAGAATTATGCTAAGGATGATCACACCCTAGTGTGAATTTCCTAATCAGATTGTTTCCCTTTTTGTCATTTACCGAGATCTGAAAGTATGGGATCTTTAACATTTCCCAGTATTTTTGTGAATATTAATGACAAAGTACTTACTACAGAAAAAGTGGCAAGTACAGATAAGTATAACAAAAACATTTAAGAAATTTATTCAAAGACTACTATACTTCTATTTTTGGCCTTTTTTTTTTTTTTAAGATTTATTTTGCATACAAGAACTTGGGTATAGGCCAGAGATGCAGGGGGTGAGAGGATTCACCAGAGACAGAGTAGGGAGCAGAATAGGCAGATGTACTGAAACACACTGCTGAGGGGAGTAGCAGGGGGCAGGGGTGGGTCAGGAGAGGTCTGCCACACCGTGTGGGTCACCTCTGTGGCTGGGGATTGAATTGGTGCTGCAATGGCTGTGATAGCTTCGTAGTGCTGTGTTTTAACCTGTTGTGCCACCAAGGAGGATCCCCTTTTTTCCCCCAAAATTTTCAGTGTTCTTTATCTGTTGATATTATATGTATGTTCAGTTTTATATCTTGATTTTTTTTCATTTTTTTCATTACTTTCATATTATGTAATTAAAATTCCCATATTTCTCTATGGAAATATTTTTAGTGACTGTATCTAGCATGTTGGTTTATATGTTTACTTAGGGGGTGGGACTGAATGGAGAAAGGAAGACTTTGATTTTGGAGCTTTTTTCAAGGTTTGGTGCCGAGCAGAAAATGCGAGCCCAGCTGATGAGGGTTGAAGGGCTCCAGGACCACAAGACCTTCCTGCATCAGCGTCAGCTCTTACCACCCCTAAGATACCACCCCTAAGTCCAGCAACAATGGATTCAGCCAGTGAATTGTCCACTTGTGTCTACACCCTCTTGTGTGTCCCCTGCCCTCACACTCACTACACAGTTCTGTCAGTGCCCCGCACACTGGACTGCCTTGCTAGTCTGTCTGTGTGCTGTCCTTTAGTCTAAAACCCATTATTATATCTGTATCCAGAATGTCTTGCAAACAGGATTGTTAAATCAATCTTTGAAGGTAGGAGGGTGTTGGTTGAACAGATAATGAGATTATATGATGCCAGTGAAAAGGACCAAGGCAGCTCCCAGGAAAATAGACCATTCTTCTCTTTTGTTCTCTTAGATCCAAAAGGACATGCATTCCCTTGATCCTGCATTTGAGGGCCAGGCCTCTGTGAGCAGAAAACAAATGAACACCATTGAGACTCTATAACTTTAGAGCTGGGTTTCTCTGGACTGCAAGTTCCAGTCAACTTACTCAGATTTCTTTCCACTCCAGTCTTCTGTGAGTGTGATGTAGGCATTCTCGGAATGTGGGTTCTGTCCATGTGGCCCAGGCACAGCCCAATAAGCAGCACTGACAGGCTCAGGCAGGCCAAGATAACTGGTAGGAAACTTCTGTTTGAGCAAGCATGTGCCCACAGGAATAAGACCTCTTTTGGGTTCCTCCCTTCAATCGTGCAAGTTTTTTGTCATCCAAATTTATGATCTTCATAAGTAGGATTAACATTTCTTAGATGCTTCTGTGTCCCCTAGCCCAGGATTTCTTAGAGATAAAGCAACAGAGAAGGCAGATAATACCAGCAGCAGATACTGTAACACCTGCCTTCTCTAGAACCTGAAAACTGAACTCAAGGATGTTACAAAGAGATTTCTTCATGGGGTCCGGCTCCTTCGTGGTTCCTGCAAGGATATGCATCTCTTACCTTCACTTCCTTGCTGAGTTCCTGTGAGGTTGCTGGTTGATTAACTTCAGGTGTCAAGCCCTGCATTCCTGAGGGATCATTACGCATTTCAAATCTCCTTAGTCCCATCACCATGTGTCCCACCCTAGGAACTCAGATTTAGTAATCTTTTTCAAAGCTGGGTGTGAACTTGTTTCCTAATTTGTCTGCTCTATTCCAGGTGGACCAGGTGCTAGTGGTTTGAAATCTTAGCAGACTTGTTCCCCACTCCACCCCCATCTCCAAGTTTATCTGACCTCTGCCTACTCCCTGTGGACTGTAACTGAGAACTGTGCATTCTGAAGGACAGTCTCTGGGGTTACTGACCCACCTGAACTCTGCACTGTGCTGTAACACTTTGTGTTTTTGAAAGAATTTTCCTCTTCAAGAGCTGAGTTTCTAGAACTCTTCATCAGAGACTATCTGGAGTGAAAGGTGAGGATGCTTACCAAAAAACACAGTTTTTTTTTTAAACATTTACTTATTTATTCATACAGAACTGGGGTACAAGTCAGAGGTGCAGGGGCGGTGAGAGGCTTCACCAGAGACAGTGGGGAGCAGAACAGGCCGATTGATGAAACACACTGCTGAGGGGAGCAGCAGGCGGGTCATGAGAGGTTTGCCACGCCATGTGGTCACCTCCGGGGCGGGGATTGAACTCATGTAGTGCTGTGCTTTAACCCACCTTGCCACCAGGGAGGGCCAAAAAATATAGTTTCTTGATGAAGCTTTGGATCCTATGTAAATCACTGAAAGGGCCTGGGAACCAGAGCCATGGGAAGGTGCCTCGTTTAGGAAATACAAGCAAGTTTGATGCTTTGAGTCTTATAATTACCCATGTGTCTTCATAATCTCCTATTCTGACTCTAGAAACTAAAACCAACCTTGCTCTCCTTTGTAACCCCTACCTACCCCCCAACCTCAACACACACAGTTGGTAGTACTGGACCTTAAATGTAGTTGGTATTGAAGATCTGTTTGGTTGAATGAGTAAGAAAATGAGTGCTGTGTTTGTTCTTTACTTCAAAGAACATAAAAGTTTCAGCATTGCTTGATGTATTTGAGGGAAAACAAAGACCGGCTGTTTAATTTTGTAAGGCTGTATGTTAAAGGGGTGATGTGTAAGAGTAATAAGGATGGTGATAATGTATTGGTAAGTCTGAGTTTGGCACAATGGCCTTGGGCAAGTCCTCTGACCTCCCTGGCCTGATGTCCTCGTTTGTAAAATGGAGTGGGGATCAGAATTAGTAATAGGAAAAAATGTGCTTTTAAAACTGGAAAATGGATTCGTGTCAAGTATGAAGAATGGTCAAGGGCAGGGAACAAGGTTGTGCATGGTCAAGTCCCTTAGCCTTATAGCAATCTGAAAAGATTTCAGTAGGATGCCAGTGTAGGCAGCCCATGCTCAGGACACGCTTCCCTTTTACTCTTTCCAGTTCCTAGACCTACTGGTCCTCTGTCTTCTAAACCATGATCCCCCTCCTGCTGGTCCCATGAGGCTGTGGCCACTTCTGTTTACATGCTTAATGGACAGTCCCCAAGAAAACTGCTCATCTCTGCCATTCTGCCCTGGTGTGGCGAAAGGTTCCTTTGTATGAGAGTGGGAAGATGAAAGCAGGCTCCAGGGATGGCTTTGCAGCTCCAAGGCCCAGGAAGTATTGCAAAAAGAGGTTTGTGACTATGCAACCTGGGAGTTGGCCAAAACCAGTCGTGCATGCCTGCACCCCCCTCACTCAGCAAATAATTGAATGCCTACCAGGGTGTCTCTAGAGTCCAACTAGGGACCTCTGACCACACCAGGGCAGTTTTCTTGGGGACTGTCCTTTAAGCATGTACACAACAGAAGTGGCCACAGCCTCATGGGACCAGCAGGATGGGGATCGTGGTTTAGAAGACAGAGGACCAGTAGGTCCAGGAATTGGGCAGAGTAAAAGGGAAGCGGGTCCTGAGCATGGGCTGCCTACACTGGCATCCTACTGAAATCTTTTCAGATCTCTATAAGGCTAAAAGACTTGACCATGGTCAGTCTAGTAAGAATTAGAGTGAGAGTATGTGGTCTGCCTCAAGTTACGACAAGCAGGCCTTTCCTAGTTTCTGACCAGTACATGGCTGCTGTTAACGCTGATCTCACCTATTACTGTCCCCTTACCATTCTTACCCTGATATCTACCTTGACCCTGATTGTCAGTCCCCTCAGTGATATGTCCCCTCTATAGATAAGAGAACCTTGATGGATCCAGGAAGTAGAGAGGGCAGGGGACCACAGTTAAGTGGCAACACAGTCCCTTCTTACCTTGCAGGCCCTCCAGGTCACTATGTTATCTCACAGGGCTGCCTACACAGCTCTGCAGGGCTCATTTACCAGGTGAGAAAAGAGATTGCAGCTCTCAAGGGATCTGCCTAGGGCCATGTCACTAGTTAGTGGTGGAGCCAAACTTTTCAAAATTGAAAGAAACTGCAATACTGGGGAACCATTTTTAAATGTATTATTATTCTCTTGTATGATTTCAAAATTGCAGTTTTATAAATGTGAAGGACTTAGAAAGGAAAAGTAACTACTTCTAAACCCCATCAATACAGAGGCACTGTTGTAAACAGCTTGGGGTATGTTTTTTCACATGCCAAAAAAATTCATTAAAAGAGATTTTCTTACATTTTATTCATTATCAATATAATATTATACATACATGGTTATAGTTTCCTTCTTTTAAAACCTTAATATAAAACTAACATCTGCTTATCATAAAATATTAAACCAAAGTAAGAATATAAAATTTGAGTTCCCTAACCATCATAATCCAGAACTAGTTGTTAATAGTTTACTTTGTGCCTTCTGAACATTTTCTTTGTGTGTATGTGTATATTATATATATTTTGTTTTTCCCCAGATAAATCCATATACATATTCTTCTACAATCTGATTTTTTAAAAAGAGATAACTTTTTATTATGGACAGCTACAAGTACACACAAAAATAAACTAAACATTGAGCTCTCATTCATCATCCAACTTCAACAACTTTCAACTTCACAGTTACTTTTCTCTCCACTTTGACTTTGTACCCCAGGAGCATTTTTTTTTTTAAAGATTTATTTATTTGTGCACACAGAGCTGGGGTACAGGCCAGAGGCTCAGGGGTGGTGAGAGGCTTCACCAGAAACAGAGTGGGGAACAGAACAGGCAGATCGACAAAGTACACTGCTAAGGGGAGCAGTGGGCGGGACTGGAGAGGTCTGCCACACCATGTGGTCACCTCCGGGGCAAGCGGGAATCGAACTCATGTGGAAGTGGCTTTAGATCCTCAGTGCTGTGCTTTAACCCACTGCGCCACCAGGGAGGGCCCCCCAGGAGCATTTTAAAGTAAATCCCAAACATCTATCACCCCTTCATAAATGTTTATGTATCCCTAAGCAAAGAAGAATTTATTTTTAATACCACATAATGCCATTTTATACCCAGTAAAATTATCAGTAACTTCTTAACATCATCAGATACCAGGCTAACTTCAGTTTTTGTCAAGCTTCTCTCTCAAAAATGTCTTCTTAGAGTTTTGTTTCAGTCTGGTTCCCATGAGAGCCACACAGTGCCATAGCTGGTAAGCCTCAGGTTTCCATCTATAAAACTCCATGTCCTATATATACCTTTTCTTTTTTTGAGAACTTGGATTAGTATATCAGAAGTCCCACGTTGTAGATTTTCTGATTGTATCTGCAGCCCCTTGGCATTGTTTAACACATGCATCTGTGCACTATATTTTCTATGAACATAGAATTTGTGTTAGAAACTTTGTGGATTGGTATGTTTCAAGAGTGCTTCCTTGTTGGCTCTGTGTGCTTCCTGTTGCATCATATCCCGAGAATGTCAGTAAGATTGATCCATGAACCTGATTGTCTTTATGTTATGTTTACAGTTGACTTTCTACATTTGTACACAGTCCTTAATTTTTTGAAGTGCTTTGGGGTTTTATTATTTATTTGTTTCTCTTGAACAGAGGTGTCAGGTACTTAAGCTGGAACAATAAAGAATAATGCAGCCCTTAGAAGCAGGCTAAGAAGAAATGAGCACATATGTATTGAGAGAAGGAAACTCTGGGTCAGGGGGACGGTCTTGGAGCCAAGGCCATCAAGACATTGGAGCTGCCAGCAGCCAGCTGCCCTTCTGGGACATTATGTAAAATGATGTAACAGAGTGAAAAAGTGGCGGTGAGCCGGCCTTCTCTCCCTGCTCAAGTCTCTGAGCTGCTATTGTAGAGAGGGATGTTCATGAATCCAGAGTACTCAGTAGGTAGGAAGGCTTCTTGGTCTGAGAAAACTGTCGTTTTTTGGTCCTTACCTTCCCATATTTTGGAAGCTGAAGTAAGGGGGTCTTCTGAGCTGCAGTGGTGAGTCCAGACTTGCGGGAAGGGAAGGGCTGCCTGCTTTGGAGAGTGGGTGAGATGATCTGAAGCAGCAGTGTCAGAGCTGGAAGGGGACACCTAGGAGAACATGTAGTCCAGTACTTTAGTTTACAGATAGAGAAAATTGTGGCCCAGAGAGGAAAAGTTTCCATAACCATCTACCAAACTGAAAACTACCATCCAAACCTCTGATTATTTGATAGTCAACCAGCATTTCTGGTTCGGAAATTCTGCAGAGGTGAAGGTGGCCAGATCAACCTCTTGACAGATTCTTAGTCTCCACCCAGAATTTCTGAGTATCCCCTGGAGTAGCTCTTGTCCTCTTTGAACTCCTGGTGTTTCTTTGATTTTGGGTGGTAGCAAGCAGTAGGCTCTTTCTTCCAGCATTTGGTGGCCAGCATGGTCTGTTGTGCTCTAAATACAAACTGGATGACTTAAATCCCAGTCTTGACTCCACATTAGTTAGCAGAGAGGTCTTCGACTACAGTTTCCTACAGAGATTGGACTAGGATCAGGTTTGTTCAAAGCATGGTCTTGATGTGCTAGGTGATTTCAGGGGGTATGAGGAGAAATAACTCTTCCATCATAGCATTTTATATTTATCTTTTATTTATAAGTAATGCTGTTTTTGTTTGTTTGTTTGTTTATAGCAGTGTTAGAAGTCCCTTCTGTAAATGTTATTAAGGCTAAAAGTTGGTAGATCAGACAACATAACACAATTGTCAGAGGGAGGAATGCAAAAGATTGCAATCTGGAAGACAACAGAGCATGTGGCCTTTCTGGTCCTTCTGTCCTCCATAATCTCTCACATCTATAGGGTTTTCCTTATTTCTGATAAATACCAGTCAGAATTTCCTGACCTGAGCAGATTCACCACCAAGTAGAAGCTGTCCAGAGTCAGAGGACACCCTGTGAATGCTCAGTTTGTTTGAGGCTGTGTTTACCACCTGGGGTGGTTTCCTTGGGAGTCTGTAAGGACAAGAGAGACGGTGCTACAGCTTGTGATTTCTGAAGTACATTCTGGATGATGTACCTAAGAAGTTTTTGAGTCATTTGCTTGAGTCACTGTGTCATTCTCTGCAGACTCTGGGACCTGTCCTCAGGAGTTGGATCATAATCTGAACTTCAGGAGCTAAGGACAGATGGGGCTTTTGGGCATGGACTCTGTGGGGAGTAGACAGCAGAAATGGGCAATCAAGGACTCTCTTCCCTTTTAGGATTTCCCTGGGGAGAACCTTCATTCAGAGTTTGCTGACAGCCAAGGATGGCGAGCAAGGGGCCCTCGGCCTCTGCATCCCCTGAGAACTCCAGTGCAGGGGGGCCCAGCGGCAATGGTGCTGGAGAGAGTGGAGGTCAGGACAGCACCTTTGAGTGCAACATCTGCCTGGACACAGCCAAGGACGCCGTCATCAGCCTGTGTGGCCACCTCTTCTGGTCAGTAACCCTATCACTGTCCCAGAGGAGATACAGAGGAATTTTAAAAGTCTCTGGCCCTGAGCAGTTTTGGAACAGATAGTTTCCCACCCACTTTAGGATCTTGATTAACTCAGATCCAAGAAGCAGGAGACCTGGGTTCTTATCCCAGCTTGATGAACTAAGTGACCCTGCTCAAGACTTGTCCTTATTTTGGGCTCTAAAGTAATGATACCCACCATTTAGTGAGTACTAACCATGTGCACTTGCTGTACTGAACCAAGAAGCAGTATCACACAGTAGTAATGAGCAAGGACTGTTTAACCAGACTGCCTTGTTCTGAATCCAGGTTTTACCATTTCTCCACTGGATGACCTTGAGCAGATGATTACACAAGCATTGTCTCATTTTAACAGAATTGTTTATGAGCATTAGATGTCTCAAATAGGTAAAAGAAGCACATCTAAATAGGTAGAAGAGCACATACTATGAGTAAATACTATGTGTTGCCTGTGATCCAAATAACTGTCATCATAGTTTATGTATAGCAAAATGGCAAGATCAGTACCAGTGCAGTCTCCATGGTTTTGAAAATCCCTCCTGGTCCTGAGAATGTGGGTGGGTGGATGTTGAGATTTGATTTAACTTTTCACTTTGATCTGTGCCTTTAAGGGTGAACTGAGTTGACAGTGCCAGGAGTGGTGAAGAGCGTGTGTGAACTCAGGGCGGGCAGTTGCTGGGCAGCATACGTGCTGTTGGGCTCCTCTGAACCTTGAAGCTACCCTGTATTCAAGAGTAATGGCACTCTGACTGGGAACCTTTAATAAACAAGAATGGCTATAAGGGAGTGTTGAGCCAGATGATCAAACCCCAATTTGGCTGAGTAGGAAATCAAACTATGGAATAATCTTGAGGAGAGCAGTGATGTGAAGAAAGGGTCATTTAAGGGGAGTTTAAATTGGCAACAATGAAAAAGATAAATTTGTTGGTGAATGAATAAAATAGGGCAAAGGTTTCTTTTCTGGAGACTATTGCCCTAATTATTAAGATTTCTACAGAAACTCCTAGAAATTGGATATATATTCTGGGGTATCATAAAACCAGGACTGGAAATGAGTGACAAAATGAGGAATTCAGAGTCATGATACCTACCGTAGGAAAGAACACAGACTCTAAAATGAGAGAGTTGCTGACAGTGGCATGGTTTTTCCCTGGGCAAATGTACTGTGACAGGGAGATAATTGCACTTTCTCAGAGCATAGCACAACTGTTTAGTGATATTAACAAATGAAGGTATTCCGCCTCTGCTGGCACATAGTAGCTGCTTGATAAATGGTAGTAATCACTATTATTGTTACACTCCTGGACTTCTCCTCCTAAGGTGAAGTTACCACTGCTTCTCCCCCACATCCTTTGAGGAGAGTTGCCAGTGGAGATCCGCCAAGCTTTGGGGGTGTACCTTTAGCTCCATTTTAATGGTATTACATGGTTGGAGTTAGATGCCAAGTGTATTGTTTCATCTCCAGGGTTTTCAGACCTGGGTTATGAGGCAAAATTGAAGTTTAAGAATTAAGAAAATAATTCTCCCCCCAAGTCTTAATTTTACTCAGTGAGAGTAGAAGAAGTTATATGAGGGATAGAAACCATGTCTACCCTTCCCTCTGTCCTGGCACACAGTAAGTTACAGTAGGTATTTATTAGATGAGTGAATGGATAAATCAATCAAGAATGAAAGAAAAATATAACTCTGGAGATACGATGAGGAACTTGTACTTGAGTTCTGTATATAACATTTTTGCTCCCAGTACTGGGTGATAAAAAGAGCAGTAAACTGGAAATCAGGTCATTTAATTTTTCAGTTCTGGTGCTGTAGGCAAGTCAGAGTTTTTTGAGTTTGGATTTCTCGTTTGAAATATGAGAGATTGGGCAGAAATAGTATAACTCATGAAGCTGAAGATAGCACTTTCTGACAAGCAGCATCCCAGTCCTTTGCATTACTGGAAGATTTTTTTTCCAGTGTATATGAACTTTTAAATTATTTTCTACTAGCATAATTCTCAAAGCTGAGGATAACTTAGAGATTATTAACCTTGTTAAACTGGATCAAGATCAAGACCAAGATCTGGCACCACACAGTCCTTTTGAACATGAGGAGGCTGTGAACCCAATGAAATTGAGTCAAATAGTACACCTATATGCCCCCACTTATTTTTTGTGCACAGTCTCCTTACTGGATTTCTCCAGAGACCATAACCTCACAGAAGTTGACTTGTGGAGAAGCTGAGAGTGATTTTAGCCCAGTCTTTTCAAATTTCTGATGCCAGTGGCCCTTCCCACAGACCTGTAGTGGATTGTAGTGCTTCATACTTTCCCTATTTTCTGCTCCCACTCTACCCTCTACCAGTGTATTCTGCTAATGAAAGCATTTTTTCTTCCTCTCCCTTTCTCTTTCTCCTTGATGACTGGCTGCCCTGGGGACTCTGGCAGTTGGCCGTGTTTACATCAGGTAAGATGTATTTCACTTTACTTTGTCTTTCATCAGCTATGATTGCACAAGACACCCCTAACCTCAGGAGACTGCTGTCAGAAACTGCAATCTCTCCTGCTTGGGTTCATTTACTTACTGTCCCCCAACCCTCTTTACACACCTGTTCACTGACAGGCACTTGATGAAACAAAGGATCAGTGGCGGCTCCCCAAATTCTCCTGACTGCTACTGATGGCTTTCAGAGCTTTGGCAGTCTACCACCTCTCCGCATTTCAAGTCCTCGTTTGCAAATTGGGTCGGATTTGATAATAGGTTAGGTTTTATTTTTGAGATTTTGCCTCTATAATGACAGGATTCCTATCATGACAACAATCCGCCTATCCTTAAAGATCTTGAAAATATGTCAAGAGGCAAACATTTTTGGTCTTTTGCAAAGGGAAAAAAGTATGTGTTCCCAGCTTTTGATTATTATGAAAACCACTTATTACATAGTCAGCATCCAGGGACCTGCTTGCTGTGAGACAGAGCAGGGCCTGACATTTACAGCTGATGTGAATAATCACTGTGAGCGGACTGTCCCCACAGTTGTTGGCAGTAGAGCCCCATATGAGTAGGTGGCTTAGGAATGTGGGGGAGAACAAGAGTTCCCCACCAACAGAGCCTCAGAATCTGGGTGGGGTAGGAGAGACAGACAACAGGCTTCCTGTTATGTTCAGTATTCTGACTCCAGTAGAACCTGGTAGAACATAAACATGTAAAGAGCACATGACACAGAAATTTTGGCACTTTAAGAGTAAGATAATGGAAATAGTGTATAAAATTCTTAAATACTCTAACATAAATGTTGAGATCTATGTACATATACATACATACACATACTCAAATTATTTAGTATCTGTAAAAGCAGTATAAGCACCTTGTTTTACCATTTTAGTCTGTTTTTAGAAAAGTTAAATATTTTTAGAATAACCTGGAAAATCCAAAATAGAATTGTGATGCTTTTAATATTGAAAGAAATAGTAGAATCCAAAAAATAGTAGAAATTACATTTTAAAATCTAGCAAATTTAGATAACAAGCAAAATCTATCCTTTAGCATATAGTAAGTCAACAGAAAATGGCCAGCCTTGTCTAGATGTATGGAAAGTGCTTTTAAAAATGAGAAATGGGCCCTCCCTGTGGCAACGGGTTAGGATGCAGCACTGCAAGTTAGCGGCAGCACAGAACTATGAAGCTACCCAAAGCTACTGCAGCTTGAGTTTGATCCCCAGCCAGGGAGCTGACTCACATGGCACAGCAGACCTCTCATGTTTTGCCTGCTGCTTCCCTCAGCAGTCTATTGCAGTAGGTCCACCTGTTCTGCTCCCCGCTCTGTTTTTGGTAAGTCCTATTGTTAAGTAAGGGGAAGGATGTCCTAAAAGAACTCTACCACTACTCCAGCTTTTTGGATTCCACCCCCTACTCCAGGGATTGGAAACTACAACTCCCAGCAGTACCAAGGAGAGAACTGTGAGGACCTAAGGGCAGAGCTAAGCAGGAATTCTGGGACTTTGGGAGATAAAATAGTAAGCGGTTCTCCAACTGTCACTCTGAAGAGGTAACGGTTCTCTCTCTCTGGAGCAACTGCTCTCAGACCGTGTGACTGGGGCTAGCAGCCTTAGTTTGGGACTAGAGCTCCAAGTTAGCAGCTCCAAGTTTACCTCTCGTGCGTGCGCGGGTGAGGCCCCACAGACAGGCAGCCCAAGTCCACTCTGTAACACTATCACCCCCCAGCTCTTAATGCATAAATAAATAAATCTTTTAGTTTGTTTTCATTTTTTTATTATTATAATGGTTTATTTTTACATCATTTTGTACCTTTGTCCATCTCAGTTGTAATCCCTGTGGACTTATCCCCGTGGACTTAGCATCGCCTATTCACCCGTGTGCCATCACCATAGTCCCATGCATCCCCCCTCCCCACCATTTTTGATCCCATTCCACCCCCATAAAATGTCTCTGGTATATAGTTGTTCATTGTTAAAATAAATAAATCTTTTTAAAAAAAAAAAAAAGAGAAATCACAGAAAGAAACAGAAGACATCCAAAAAAATTTGTCTTATTCATCAGGGAAGGTGAAGATATAAAATTTGTTATATGTATCTTAAAACTTAAACTGAGACTGGGTTTGTTGACATAACCCCAGGCTTATAGTTCCTTCTTGTTCTATTGCTGAGAGAACGAAGCATGAAGTCTATTTAATTATGGTAGGATTTGAAGGTAATCTTTATTTCACCAATATAAATATTATAATGAGTGCCAGGAAAAGGAATCAAATTCAGTTCTTTGAGATTGTCCCTGCCTGTGCTGCTGTTTCTCTGTCTGTTGTTTGCCTGATGGCTCTGTGGTGGCCTTGGGCCATTCATGTGTTGTGTTCTCCTTTTTGCAGTGGTTGGAGACCAGGCCTAACAGACAGGTGTGCCCAGTTTGCAAAGCCGGCATCAGCCGAGACAAGGTCATCCCACTCTACGGCAGAGGCAGTACTGGGCAACAGGACCCAAGGTGAGGCCTATGGCACCTCTTATACCCATTCCTCCCCTTGGATGTGAACTCACTTGCATTCAGCATCCACTCCCTGCTCTCTTTACTTAGTACTTGCAGACCCTTAGTTCTGAGGCAGTTGGAATAAGGAAAAAAGGGAAACAAATCATTATAAATCAGTCAAGTTGCCTCTTGCTGGATTGTATTACAGATACCTACATGTCTGCCAGCATGCAGGGGACTGCACAAATGACATGAAGTAGCATGTCCAACAAGCAAGTCTGTGAGGATTGGGATCAGAGCAGCAGTGATCCATAAAATGTGGGGGTAGAATGGTGAACAGAGGGTCTGAGAGGCTTTGTAATTTGAGTTTTCTAGAAAAGAAGGTATAGATGGTCTGGTGTTTTATGAACATGAATACTAAGAATCATTTTATGATGATCTAGCACCTCTTCTACTCTAGCAGTGAGGTTGCCTTCATGTTACCTTTGCCAGCCTACCCCAGCATACCCTGTACATGTTGGACACCTAAGACATAATGAAGTTCTCTTTAAAGGGACTTAATCCTTTCACATTTATGAGGCCTTGTAGTTGCTATCCTCTGCTCGTCCACCCTTCCCAGATCTGCTCAATCACTTCCACCTCCTTTAACTTCTGCCTATCTTTAATAAGCAGCTTTAAAGTACCTCCTCCCTAGAGTGGCATTTCTTTCCTACATTAGTTGCTCTTACATGTCCTCCCGTGACATTTAGTTCATACCTCTTTAAAAGAAGTCCCTTCCCAAATGTATCATGAGTGATTGTAGTTCCCTTTAAACCATGAACACCTCAAAAGTAGGCAGTCATCAGTTTTAGTTTTTGTAGCATCCTGCTAAGTGCCTAATGATAGTCCAGAATTTGTAGGATAAGTGATGTAAGGGGTCAGGGCCCAGACGCAGAGAGAATAGAATGCCTGCCCAAGAGTAGTGGGAACTGAAGCTCAGGCAGTAGTAGCAGATCAGAGAAATATTGACTCACAGCGCCCTACCTGACAGGGCATCCTCTGTTTCAGTTTGCATTTAGGACTTTTTCTTTAATCGGTGACCTCTGCCTCACACAGTTCCGACAAAGGTGTCTGGCTGGGAATCATAATCATTCTGATTAAAACCCTCTGTGAAAGAACTAGGCTATCGTGTAGTCTGGTAAAAATCTCATTACAAGCTGATTTTCTCTAGCTTTCTATAGTTGGGAAAAACGTTAATTGCTGGTAGATGAGTAAGTATTTGACTTAATTTGGCATAGGTGCTGTACAGGAAAGGGGGCAATGGCCTGTTGGTGAAGAGCTTCCACTCCACTCAAGGAGCAACTCAAAGCATTTTGTAATAGATTAATTTTACACTGTTTCTGTTTCAGAGAGAAGACCCCACCCCGTCCTCAAGGTCAGAGGCCAGAACCAGAGAACAGAGGGGTGAGAAACATTTTAGAAGAAACAGATATGAGCCCAAGCCTTTAGAAATGTCCCTCTTTGATTAAAAAGTAAAACTTATAAAATACAGAAAGGAAAAAAGGAAACAAATCACAATCAGACCATCTAAGGATAACCACTAAAAACATTTTGGTCTGTTTTATTTTCTGTCGTGAAAATTTTGTAGATCTATTTATTTGTGTGAATTTTATAAATAGGTACATGTGTATACTTGTGTTTTAATTAAGCAAAATATTTACCCATAGTACCATATCCTAAACAATTATATTTTCATTTCCTCATTTTTATCTTTGTTTGTCTATATGCATTTTTATATAGCTATCACTATTCGTTTGCTTTAAAACAGTATTTTCCATGATACCCTGTAGGGTCCTCTTTATTTTTAAAGGCTACCATTTAGTCTGTTGAATTTTGATAATTGAGATATTCCTAAGGACCTTTTAGTTGTCTCCAGATTTTGCTGTTATATATAATGGTGCATTGATTATCTTTGTATATATATATTTCTTTCTTATTTGAATTGTGTCATTTCCTTAGGACTCCCAAGGGCAGCATTATTAAGTTAGGGATTGTTATAGAAATAGAGGGTCTCTTCTCCAGATTATCCTTAAAATAGCACTTATTCATGATCATTACATGCAAAAACTATATGTTAAGGACATTATAGGCACAATCTGTTTAAGCCTTACACCAACCCATTTAACAGAAGAGGAAAGTAAAGCCCAGATATCTGAGTCACACAGGATTGAAACCCAAATCTGACTGGTAATGAAATCACTGCTTTTGGCTCACAAGAAATACCACTTGACCCGCCCCAGACTCCAGCCTTTCTCTGAATATTAGCTAACCCCAGCATAAGTAGGGACACAGGGAGCCAGTGTCCCTGGCCTTGAGGCACACCTCTAGTATGTGTGGGCACTTGCAGCTGCCACTGATGCTTTTCACCTGCTCTGCCCCTGGGAACATAAACCCACTGAGTGTGAGGACTTACACATTGAATAGGTGTTGCTTAGGTGGTTAGGGGTCAGTCCTAGGACTGCACTGAACAAAGTGGTGCACTGATGAAACAGTTGCACCTTCCTGGGTAAGGTAGCCTTGGTCCCAAGAGCCCTCAGACTCCACCACTATAGTTCTGAGTACAAGGCATTTCTGCACTAAGGAGATGGAAACCAGTTGTTTTCCTTCCCTATAGGTTTATTCTTATTAAGCAGTTGTTAGGCTTTATAGGTAGTGACACCGAGGAAGTTGTTCGGAGCTAAAGTCAAGGTTGCTTGGTGTGAGATAAGAAGTTACCAATTTCATGGCTAGCAAAGACTCACAAGTGAAAGCCAGCCAGCTTTGTGGAAAGCAGTAGGCCCAATAACATTTTAGTATTTCTTTTTTTTTTTTTTAATGATTTGTTCTAAAAATCTACCCAGGGACATGAGGAAAGACAAATTTTTTTTTGGTAAGATACACACAGTAATAAAAGCATTGGTTTTGGATCATAGTGACCTGGTTTTAGATCTAAACTCTACTCCTTATTGTGGTCAAGTCATTTCACCTCATTAAGCCTCAGGTTGGTCCTCTCTGAAAATGTGGGTGATGCTAATGGAAGAATTAAATGTGTCTCCAGTATCCTGGTGATTAATACAGTGTCTCGCCTAGAACGCACATTTAGAAAATAGGCGTTACTTATTCACAATTTATGATCCTTCATGAAAGATGATGCAGTGCCAAACATGTATGGGGGAGCTGCTGATTGTAGTCACCAAGGGAGAGGGGTGTGAAGAAGTGGGTGAATAAGGAAACACAACCTTCTGCCAATCTCCCTGTAATGTGTGAATTTCTTTCAACAGCATATTTACTTTGTAATCAGAATAAGATAAAAGTGGTTTTGAATTTTTAAATTTTCTCTATTAAAAGAATATGTCAAGGGGCCTCATTGGGGTTAAAGTGTCAATGCTATCAAGTTATAGCCAGTGACCGCAGCATGATTTAGATTCCCAACCAGGGAGCCGACCCACATGTTCCAGCAGACCTCACCTGTCTCACCCGCTGTTCCCCTCAGCAGTGTGTTTCAGTCAGTCCGCCTATCTGCTCTCCATTCTGTAAGAACTGGCCTACACCCAGTTCTTGTATACATAAATAAATCTTTTTTTAAAAAAGAAAGAAAATATTGAGGGAAAATACCTACTTATTGTCATGTACTTGTGACTGTAGTGTTCAAACAGTTTTGTCTGATGATGGTCACAGGGCTTCCCTTTGTGACTTCATAATCAGTGTCATGGTTCTTTGAGCCTGTGTGAAGATTTTGATCATGACCTCTTGTTGTCTAGTTAGGGTCTCACTTTTTGCTATTACAGGTAATGTGTTGCTTGTTCTGACATGCCTTCATCACTAGACATTGGAGTTATTTGCCAGTTTTGCTGTTACAAAGCATATAAGAAAATTTACTGGCTAGTGTGAGAATTTGGGAAAGGACTTAGAGCTCTAAGAACTCTGACTTGCATCAACAGAGGGTTTAGTTTGGGTCAGAGCCAGTTCTTTCTAACATTCACCACTCCTTCACTGGGACCTCTGAAAGACTGGAAGCGCAGAGGGTTCCTCTGCCTTGGAGTCAAGATGAAAGGAAAAGATGTTCCCCTTAAAAACATGTGGCCCAAGGTAGACTGGGGAGGTGAGTGCCTTAGGTATGATGACATGTTTGACAGTTGCAGGAGATATCTGTTTGTCAGTCTTCTTAATTGATTTCTTCCACAGGGATTTCAAGGTTTTGGATTTGGAGATGGTGGCTTCCAGATGTCTTTTGGAATTGGAGCATTTCCCTTTGGGATATTTGCCACAGCATTTAATATAAATGATGGACGGCCTCCACCAGGTGAGACCCTTTTCCCTAGTAATCCTGCTTGTGAACTTGGAATTGGGCAGTATATAGGTTATGGATAATTGCCATGGCGGGGATAATCAGCTGTTTCAAAATGTGCTGAATTTTCAGAATATTAGTATTCCTGATCATAATATTCCATACTTACCATATAGTAAGCATGTTCAGAGTGTCTTTCAGTACAAACTCGGATCCTTACAACAAGATAGTGGGGCAAGTGTGTGATTAAATTCTACTTTTCAAATTGGAAACTGTTCATTAATGTTACCCAAGACATACCCATGCCCATAGAATTAAAAAGTATAAACCATACCCACTTGAGGGACAGCTCCCTGGCCAGAGATCATACTCACGCTGCAGTGGCTTCGGATGCTTCATGGTGCAACCCCTTGCACCACCAGGAACCATATATATATGCACATATATCCCCACTTTGATTAAAGGTGGGAAAAAGGGGCAAGGTGACCAACAGAAAGTCAGTACCCCTCCATTCTCTGGTGCATCTGTCTTAACTTCCAACACCCCAGCAGCCCTTTGTGAACCCTGCGTAGGTCTCCCAGCTGTATTGGGTAATGATAAGCAGGGCAGTGAGGTGGGAGCCTATATTCTTTATCACTGGGCCAAGATTCTTTTTTTTTTTTTTTTTGACATATTTATTTATGCATACAAGAATGGGGGTACAGACCAGAGATGCCCTGGGATGTGGGGAGGTGAGAGGATTCACCAGAAACAGAGTGGGAAACAGAACAGGCAGATTAACTGAAATACACTGCTGAGGGGAGTAGCAGGGGGTAAGACAAGAGAAGTCTGCTGTGCCGTGTGGGTCAGCTCCCTGGCCAGAGATCAAACTCACGCTGCAGTGGCTTCGGATGCTTCATGGTGCAACCCCTTGCACCACCAGGAACCAAGATTCATACCGTAGCTTGCCAAGGTGCTAATGCCGGTTGAGCTCTGCTTGCACTCATTGGAGCCTTGAGTGCTGGCTGTGTGGGGTACAGATTATTCAGCGCACAGTTCTGGCCAGGACTTAAACTTGAGGGAAGAAGACTTCTACTGGATTATTCCAGTGGTTTCTTGCACCATCCTGGTGCTTGATGGTTAGCAGGCAATCTGTAAGTCTTTGTTGTTTGCCTTCCTGCATCCATCTTCATCCCTAGAACAACAGTAAGACACTGCTCTTCCTTACCTCATCTATCTCAAAAGTTTTTCTCCTTTGTTTCTGAGAGGAAAGAGACCCTAGAGTACAGAGTATGTCGTGCTCTATTAAGGGACCTCTAAATAGTAACTAAACCAGAGAGGTGTAGAGACCCAGGTTCTCCTCCTACTTCTGCCTCTACTTTGCAATGCAGGGAGGGAGAGAGATCATATTTCCTGTCTAGGCCGCAGTTCTCCTCTCTGGAAAAAAAAGACACTCCATGTAGTGACCTTTGAGGTCCCTCCTGGCTCAACAGAGCCAGAACCTACAGGCTCCTTGGTTTAGGAGGCTGTGTGCTGACAGATGGAGAGCATGACTGTGGGGCTCTGCCACTAACTTATGACTCTTGTGACCTTAGGCAGGCCACTTCACTTACTGTATTTAGGTTTCTCCTTATACAAAATGGGAATAGTACCTACCAAGTAAAAATTATACATAACACTTAGCACATGGATGATGCTTAGGAAATAGCATTTCCCTGCCCCTCCCCCAATTTCTGTCTTTCTTGCACTTGTAAACCAAATCCTCTTAGGATAAGTGGTCGATTTACAAAATATGACATATGAAGACAATTCCATTTTTTTTTTTTGCTGATGTCATTTGGGATTTAGACATCTTTATAGTGTCAGGATACAGATTGATGCTTTTGACTTCTGGCCTGAATGGACAGTTGCAGAGCTATAACAGTCTTTTTCTCTCCTGTCTCTCCAGCTGTTCCTGGAACACCTCAGTACGTGGATGAGCAGTTCCTGTCACGCCTCTTCCTTTTTGTGGCCCTCGTGATCATGTTCTGGCTCCTAATTGCCTAATGCTGGACTCCCAACCTGCATCTGGCAGGACCTCTGGACTGGTGACATGTCACACCCACATTCTTGGTGTTCGGCTTCCTGTCTAATCCTGACCCTGGAATCAGTGGGGTTGGTAACACATTGAGGAGTCTTCTTCATCAGAGCTTTGGGACTCAAGAGCAATTGTTGAGGACCCTGGAGCATGGATACTGCTATAACCTCAGGCCTTGATATTGAGTTGTCTTTCATGGATGACAACATGAAATACTGTTCCAGCAAGCTCAGCAGGTTCTGACCGCCCAGGGAAGAGGCAAGAAGAAGAACACTGTCAGAATACAATTTCATCTGAGTTTAAATATCACAAAAACAGGGATGAACCAGATGACACTTAGGGAAATTCACATCTCTTTAACTACACCTTGGTAAAATGCCTAAGTTGGTGGGGCTCTTCTGCAAGAGGTTCACCTTCCAGATCCCAGCGCTGCTCTTTCCTATTTCCTCCTCCTCCTCGGCAAAGAGGCAAGAAATTGCAGCCCTGTAAAGATCATAACTGCAGCAGCTGAAGCTGGAATTGCTTCATGAAGTTACCAGACCCAAAGATCTTTTATTGACTCTGGACCATGCTGATTGTCTTTGGCCCCAGAAAGTTGTTTGAATGACCTTCTGGTTTCTTGGCATAGATTATCCCCAGAGACATGTGACTTTACTCACAGATTTGTCATTAACTTTCCCCCAGAAAAACTATCTGCATCCTTCTCCTTGCCAGAGGGCACACAGCCTAGATCACTGCTGAAGCTGAGACTGCTGCATATTAGCAAAGACTGCAGGCAGGACTCCTGCGGAATTTGGACCTCTGATGCAGAAACAAATAGCCCTGCCCCCAAGGCTACAGAAGCTCCAAATGCATCTCCCTCCACCACCCCCACCCCTCCACTCCCAGATTTGCCCAAAAGGAACTAGGGGCTTTATACGGTCAGCCCAGTGCATGTTGAAGACTATCCTCCTCAGAAGCCAAGTTACCCTTTATCAAGAGGCAGGATTGTAACCCTGATTTTCATATGGCTTGATGGACTCCCCTGAAAACTCCTTGTATGTGTGCTAGAACCAGGGAACCATGTGATTGCAGAGCAGGCAGTCCCTGATGACTTGTAAAGCCAGGCAGCAGGGCCTGGGGAGTCCCAGCATGATGATAAGATATGGTCTTCCTGTGGAAGTCTTCCCCTGGAAATTCCCAGGGGGATCATTTTTTCCCAAGTCCTTGATTTGTTTTTTGATTTCACAAGTTTCTTCTGATCTGATAGAGGCAACGTGGTGCCAGGCAGAAAGACAGTTTACTTCATGGTGTAGTTTTCACTTTGCAGGTCAGGCCTCTTCCAGAAGACCCCTGTGATGGAGGAGACATACTTCTTCGGGGGGGTGGGGGAGGCCTCTGTCACTATGCCACCTAGTGCTTTTTTCAGATATGGCTCTGTTTAGCATGTGGAAACCAAGACTGTGAGGGTGATAATGGAAATCGTCCTTTTTCATAGCCCTCATCCCTTCCCCTTTGTTCTGGTCAATGCCAGAGTTCAGTATTTAAACAGACAAACTGTAAGTATTGAATAGGTGGTTCATTTCCCAAATCCATTTGATAGGAATACGCCACCAGTTTTCAGTGTGTCTGATGGATTTTAAACATTCTTGGGGCACCCACTCGAGAGTGCTCGATTGCCTAGAAATCTCAGCTCAACAGGATTAGTAGGATTCCTCAGTGCAGTGGCCCCCCCTCGTGGGGGGAGAGAGGACTTCAGATGGGCCCAGAAATTTCAAGGGCTGGGTGGAAAGACAAATCATTTGTACTCTAATGAAATGGAGTGAGCACAAGAGATCTCCACTAGTGAAGGTACCCCAAGAACCTGTTAGCAAAGTCAAGTTGGCCATGCACCCTTTGATTTTATACCTTGTAGCTCCCCTTTCCCTCTGCCAAGAGCTGGGGCAGGGAGCCAACTTGGGACGGCTGGCCCAGTCCCAACAGGAAACCCCTTTCCCACCACCCCTGCAGGCTCATCACCTTTACCCCTCTGTCAAGCCAGTTCTCCTTTCTTTGTGTGTGTGTGTGTGTTTGTGTGTTTTCTATGCTCTTGGCTTCCACCCCACTTGCCACCTTTGTGGATTAGGACCAGGTCCCAACCACAGTCAGAAAATGGCACCATGTACAGTGGCCCACCTTGACCAGTCACTAATTTTCACTGTTGTGAAAGTGATTTGATTTAGAATTAAACAAATGGTTTTACATTACTGTAAGCTGTGGGCTTGTCTGTGTCATGGGGGAATGAATGTTGGGGAGGAGTCACTTTTATGGCCTCTGGAAAGCCCTGTGGTGTGTGCATCCTTGAGAATGTCACCATGAGGATGAAAGTCTTCAGATACCATGTAATTAGAGATGAGAAGTGTTGGCTAGGACCTGGCTCAACCTGTGACCTAACAGGCAACAGGCAGCCCAGTCCTGATAAGCAAGGATACCTAGGCTTGCAGGCAGCCACGGTAGAGTTCAGCTTGTGACTAATCAGAGCTTTGATAACTATCAGAGGTTATTTGGTGTCCTTACCTCTCCAGGCTATGAGCAGGTGGACCGCTACCTGGAGCATGGGGTGTGTGACTCACTAAGGTACCTAAGTAGCACAGTATGTGAAAGATACTGGTGAGGTTACAAAGTTGGTCCAGCCTCAGGCTCCCCAGAGCCACAGGTCATCCCTCTGAAAGGAGCTCACCTACCTCTTACACTTTGACCTAACCGTTATCAAATTGAATAGCACCAAGATACACTGGGAAATGCAAAGTTAAAAAACTCTGAAGTTTCATAAGCCCAATATGAGTATAGGGTTTTTGTTTCCATTGGAAAATAAAACATACACAGAAGTACAAAAAGTAAGAACTCCATATACCAACTGCCCCACACCCATAGCCATCAATCCTGGCCCAGTACTGTTTAATCCCCTCCCTCATTACTGCTCCCTTGTCTTCTCCCTGGTCTATTTTGAAGCAAATCCTAGTCATGTCATCTATTAAGTATTTCAGTATGCACCCCAATGATAAGGGTCTTTAAAAAACAGCCAAAATACCTTAAATACCTTTTTAAAATTAATGATATTCCTTTAATGATATATATCCAATCATTGCTCAAATTTTCTATTTGTCTCAACTTTTCTGTATTGTTTGAAATAAGGTCCATATCACATCCATACATTGCCGTTGGTCTTCTCTGAAGTCTCTCTCCATCTATCCCTTATCTTTCCCTTGCAGTTTGTTAAACCAGCTTATTTGTCCTATAGAGTTTCCCAGTTTCATTTTTGCAACTTGCATCACTGATATTATTGGATCACCCATAAGTTGTTAGACTTAGAGATTTGACTGGCTTCAGACCTGATTTTTGTGTCGTGAGACCATGTCATAAGTGATAGTACATATTTCTTGTTGCAGCATATCAGGAAGCACATAATGTCTGATCCCTCCTTGTGATGTTAGCAGCCATTACTGATTGTTGCCTAAACCAGCACTACCCCACAGAATTATCAACAGTGATAAAGGTGTTCTCTATCTGCACTTTTCAGAGTAACCACTAGCCACATGTGACTATCAAGCAGATGAAATGTGGCTAGTGGACTGAGAAACTGAATTTTTAGGCTGTTTCATTTTAAGCAGCTGCAAGTATTTAATTCATAGGGGTTGTAAATTGATGTAATTGAAAATTGTAAGTATTCAAAGTTTAGAAACATAACTATGTCTGAGGTCTCCCTGGTGGCGCAAAGGGTTAAGTCTCAGCACTATGAAGCTGATGGCAGCACAAGTTTGGTCCCCAGCCAGGGAAGTGACCCACGTGGCACAGCAGACCTCACCTGTCTTCTGGCTTCCCTCAGCAGTGGATTTCAGTAGATCTGCCTGTTTGGTTCCCACTCTGTGGTGAATCCTCTCACATCCCACACCTCTGGCCTGCACCGCAGCTCTTGTATGCACTTCTGGGCAGAGTAATGCAACAAGATTACAGAAGGCATGGTGAGAAGTAAATGGTAGTGACAGTGATATAAGGGCAGAATGTATTAAGGAAAAAGCAGAGGCTTATAGTTAAAGACTCGGCGAGAAGGCTGCAAGGTGAGATGTAGGGGGCCTTTTCTGGTTTTTAATGTTGAAGAGCTGCTGAACATTTTCAGCAGAGGTGATGAAACTTAATTTTGGAAGAGTAATGTGGTATTTTAAAAGGTATGATTTCAGGGAGGAGAGAGACTAAAAGCTCAGTTTGAAGTAATTGGAAGTGACAGAAGGAGAAGGTCTGGCTAAAGATCCATAGTCCAGTTCCTTCAGGAGGGCAGCTATTGCACCTTAAGATGGTCTTCAGATCCAGGTTCTCATCTATAGGTCTGGACTGCTGAGGGAGAGTCAGTAAGATCTGGCCTCATGACTGAAATAGCAACAGTCAGATAATCAAACTGATTAAGTGACTTGAGTGCTAGAAACCCAGAAGGTCTCCCTGCCTAAGCCTTTTCTGCCCTCATATATCCCCCTCCAGTTCACAAGTGATTTTGGAATAATCTTAGGCCCTTACTAGAAACAGATCTCTTGATTACATACATAATTTTTACAGACTTACTCTCTTTATATTTCAACTTGTATTTCCAAATTATCTAAACTTTTCTGGGAGGGAATTGGGGGGAGTTGGTTATACCCAGTCACACTGGTAAAGACCATGAGGTTGGACTAGGGCGGTAGAGAGAGAGAAGAGACCCGAGTGCCTTGCTATCAGGCAGAGGAAGAGGGAGCTAACCAGAGGACTTGGTACTAAGGCTTCCAGTGTCTAGATGCAAGAGAAAGAAAAGTGTAACCTCTTTTCACGTGCAGGGTCAATAAAATATTGACTGTTATCTGGCTTGTCAGGGGAGTCTTCTGGATCACCATCACTTTATTATTTTTTAAAGATTTATTTATGCATATAAGAACGGGTACAGGCCAGAGGTGCAGGGGTGGGATGAGAAAATTCAGAGACAAGAGTTGGGAGTAGAACAGGCATTTATATGTACTGAAATATACTGCTGAGGGGAGCAGTGGGCAGATCAGGAGAGTCCTGCGGCGCCATGTGGCTCAGCTCCCTGCTCCGGGATCGAACTTGTGCTGAAGCTGCTGCGGATACCTTCATAGTGCTGCGCTTTATCCCATTGTGCCACTAGGGACGATGCCACATCACCATCATTTTAATTCATTACACAATCTGTGGTTACTATAAGCAGAGCAGAGGTTTCCTCAAGACTTTGTAAAGCCAACTGCTGAAGAGTTTTCCCAGGAATTAAAGTCAAGTACAACTTGACTGTTCCTGCCAACACTTGCTGCACACTCAGGACGACAGGAGCCACCTGCCACACCCAGAGAAGAAAACTGACCTGCATCCAGGTTGAAGTGCATAGTCAGGGCAGGAGAAAAGAAAATTGTGTTTACCTTTGCTTATACAAATGTGGCTAGTGGACTGAGAAACTGAATATTTAGGCTGTCTCATTTTAAGCAGCTGCAAGTATTTAATTCATAGGGGTTGTAAACTGATAATAATTGAAAATTGTAAGTATTCATATTAGAGCAGCCGGGTTGAACTTTGTCCTTTTGGGGATGTCATGATCTATTCCTCCAGCCCCATCCCTGTCCCCTCCTAGTCAAATGGACACTTTTCCCATGACCTAAATCTGATCTAAGGAAATAACAGTTGCCAAAGACCCAGCACAAGAGAATTACATAGAAGGGACCTCAGGGACCAGTCATTATGACCTACCCTTCATTACCCCAATTCCCTCCCAAATTCAGAAGGGGGAGTGGTTTTCAAGGCTGCAAGAAACAAGTCAGCTACCCTTATTTCCAGTGCTCGCTCCTCCACAAAGAAACGTGCAGGGGAAGACCAATTCACAGGCATGTTTCCGTTGGCCTACATATCATTTTCACAATATTATCAGATTTGTAAAAAAAAAAAAATTTATGCATACAAGAGCCAGAAGTGGGGGTAAGGGAGTGTGTGAGAGGATCCACTGAAAACAGGAGAACAGGCAGATCAAATGAAATAGGATCTGCAGCAGTGGTTGAGACAGGAGAGGTCTGCTGTGCCATGTGGGTCAGCTTCTGGGATCCAACTCATGCCTTAGTGGCTGCTGGATAGCTTCCTAGTGCTGAGACTTAACCCTTGCACCACCAGGGAGGCCTGTACCAGAATTTTTTTTTTTAAGATTTATTTATTTATGCATACAGAACTGGGGTACAGGCCAGAGGTGCAGGGGCGGTGAGAGAATTCACCAGAGGCAGAGTGGGGAGCAGAACAGGCAGATGGGCGAAGTACACTGCTGAGGGGAGCAGCGGGCGAGTCAGGAGAAGTCTGCCACGCCATGTGGGTCACCTCAGGGGCAGGGGTCGAACTCATGCTGAAGTGGTTTTAGCTTCTTAGTGCTGTGCTTTAACCCGCCTGGCCACCAGGGAGGGCCCTCCTACCAGAATTTTTTTTTTAAATAACAGTTTATTTTTACATCATTTTGTACATTTTTTTTCATCTCAATTGTAATCCCCGCAGGTTTCCCATCACCAAGTCACCCATGTGCCATCACCATACTCCCGTGCACTTCCCCCCCACCTCCAACCCCCCGTTTTTGATCCCATTCCCCACTCCACCCCTACAAAATGTCTCTCTACCAGAATTTTTAAAAATTTCACATAAATACCAGGGTTTTTGACTAGTCCTGAAAAGTTGGACGATCTGGTGTGGTGGGTTCATTTATATACCAGTATGTCCTCACTAATGATCTGCCTCGGGAATGCAGTTTGGGGTTGCATTACCGCCATAGCATTTTTGATCTAACGGCAATGTGAGTGTCAGTTGACTGACAATGGTACAGAAAAGCAGCTTCTCTGGGCAGGGAGCTTCTAAGTGAAGCCCACTCTTAGTCCCCCAAAGCTTGTGGCTTTGAATAGGGAGAAGCCCTATTCTTACAGGGAGTCAGGACACATGGTTCCCAGCCAAGTTTAGATCCTAATGAACTGAGCCATTTGAAGGTAGCAAAACTTCTCTCTGTTCCTCAATTTGCCCACCTGTGAAATGGATCTCCTGTGTCGCGACTTTAGCGTGTGTACACTCACCCTTTCCAGCTCGATCACCCAAGGAGACGCCGCGACTCGCACTTGGAGGCGCCAAGACTGACCCAGAAGGGCATGTTGGGGGCGGGGCGCCGAGGCGGCGGGGCGGGGCGGGGCTTCGGCTCCGGGTCACGGTTGCCAGGTGCCGTTTGGTCGCCCCGGCGCGCCGTAGGTGGTGCATCCCGCTGGCTCCGGGGGCTGAATTCGAGCCTG